GAAGTCATTGGCAATTCAGACTTAGAAAGTCGTGTATAAGGAAATAGAAAAGCGGCACTTAGTCTCTCTCCCTCCTCCCTCCTCCCTCCTCCCTCCTCCCTCTCCCTCCTCTCTCTCTCTCTCTGTGCAACCATGTTGCTTGGAGCATCTTAGGTCACCTAGGACCTCGCACATGGCAGGCCCGTCTAAGTTGGGCCGCATTGACCTAGGCAAAACACTTAGACCTTGGACTGCCTCAAGGTGCTGTCTAGGTGCCAAGGCCGCCCACCTTTTAATATATTGGTCAGTGGCAGTCAAGAAATAAGCTGTTTTTTTCTTGTTGGGTCTGATTTTGAGGGGCCTGATTTGGTATTCCTAAATATGAAGAAACAAACAGAAAGATTAGAGATCTTTTATGAAGGAATAGAGTAAATTCCAGCCAGATGAAGATATTTGGGGGTTTCTGTGTGAGAACCTTGATTTAGTCCGGGAATCAGGCTTGGCCTTGATTGGATAATGGCTGATGATTGCAAATTATGTCTCAATTTTGAATCCTAGCACTGAACTAACACATAAAAAATGCCTTGATTTAAGTTTAGGACCTTGGTCTTCTTGTTTTCTAATTTGGAATTTGAGTTTCAGTATATGTAGTGTACAGACAAATGATATTGAAATTCTTGCTGGTTATATGAAATTGTGGTTTAGCACTATTTAATATTGTTACCGGAATCTCGCACCCTAGGTGGCAATTCCACTTCAAAATCCCGATTCTGTGCTTCCGTGAAACAATCTTCACGGAACCCATTTCCTTGAATTCAACAACCTAGATTCCACATTTTAGGAATCTCGATTCCAATTTTTTTGAATCGTGATCCAACATTCATTGAATCTCGGTTCCACATTTGTTGAGTCTTGATTCCACACTTTTTCATTTTTGTGGAATCTAGATTTCACTCAGTATTTATTTATTTATTTTATTAAATGTAGTTTCACACTCTCTTTTGATGTTATCATCCTCTCTCTCCATGAGTGTTCTTGTGATGTTTAGACTTTTACCACTCGTTCCACTGATGCAACAATGCAATGTGAATGTAAACAAAAAAGTATTATTTAACGTCCTCTCGTTAAATGTACTCACTTTTATTTCATCATGTCAAGTAAATGGTCCATTGTGAGAACCAGGTTACGGATTCTTATACAATTGCTTTTTTGATAATGCTAGAACTTGGTGGCTATTTTTCAAGATAATTGGGAAATAGATTTGGGTTTGATTTGGATTACATTTCAAATAGTGCTAGAACCGGTGGCTATTTTTGGAAGATAATTGGGAAAGAGATTTGGTACAAAGCAACATAATGGCATGAAAAATTTTCCATTTTCAACTATAAATATGAAATCAAAGTCTCAATTTCAACTTTCAAGTATACATGATATAATATTTGTATGTTTTGTAAGCAACATTTCAAATTCCCTAGTGGACTATGGGTGTCTGTTAATTGTACTTAACCTGAATCTATTATTACAACCACTCGACCTTAATTCTGATGTTATGATTAAAGCTCAATACATCAATTTCAATACCAGGGGAATCCTTGTTCAGGTCTTTGTAATCTTTGAGGATCTTGATTCAATACTAGGAGAACCATGGCTAAGTATACTCAATACGTCAATTCTAATACCAAGGGATTGTTGCATAAGATTAGACTAGAACCTTGAACCATTTGCCTAATGAAACAAATTTCCTGATGATATCTGATGCGGTTCTAAGTTGTTAGGTGTGCGATCCCATAGATGTGGGAATCTCGGTTCTAATCGGGTTGAAACTCGATCCCATAAAACTAGGAATCTCGATTTCACGTGGGTTGAAACTCGATTCCAACTGGCTTGAAACTCAATTCCAAAAAGGTAGGATTTTCAATTCTGTTTGGGTTGAAACTCGACTCCATAGAGGTAGGAGTCTCGATTCCATTTTGATTGAAATTCTATTTCAATAAAGTAGGAATCTCATTTCTTGCAAGGACAACGATTCTGACAACAAGAACCTTCCAACCACCTGCGATTCTGATTCCTAGATCGATTCAAAATCTCAGGCGTTTGCAACAACTATGGTATCGATAGTATTATTTCTGGTGGATTAGCATAGAAATGATTCGATTTCAAAGTTGGTAAAATACATAAAGCCCTTCATGGAAAATTTTCAGCCTTTATTTTCATGTTTGTTTTTTTGCCATTGTTTGCTGGGTTGTTACATTGAAATGCATTTTGTGTGATGTCTAACAAGCTTTAACTCTTTTTCCAGGTTATGAATGCATTAAAGTTCCAGCCATGGCTCATCGGAAGTTTAGCTGAAGTAGGGCCCCGTTTTATTAATCTTGTCCACACTATGCATCAGAGATGCAACTCATCACTGGAGGTATTTTTCACTGGCTCTTTTATGTTCATGTAATTTGATTTTAGTTACAACTTGTGTCCTTTAAGATATTTAGAAGTTGATTAGAGTTTAATCAATTCTTGGTATCTTAGAATAATTTGTTTATGAAACTTCCGTTGGAAATGTCATTTTCAAATCCTTACAGAACTATGTGGGTCAATAAAGTCTCTTTCTTCTTGTTTTAAGCTGTTACTAGATGTGGTGTATCTTAAACCTGGATAGCACCAATAGAAGGTTGCTCAGTGCAGATTTTGAATAAGAGTGTTTATGATATCTCTCAGCTTGACTTATATGGATAAAATTTTGAAAATTTATCAAAATGTACCTAGAGATAAACTATTTAACATGTTATCTGTTTCTTTAGATTTAATTTCAAAACGTCCATCAAAATACGCATGATCGTGAGTTGGAATAGTTGAAAATGAGTAAAATGCTAAATAGTTTTTTGGTAGACATGAAATTTGAACCGTGGCCTCTCATCTTGTATCTTTGGTTTGCTCCTTAAGTACTCTATTTAACTATACTAGAGTGAGTAAAAAGTGTGCTTGGGATGTATTTAAAATTTTCAATTTGAGTGCCCAAGCGATCAACTGTTCCTTGTCTTTTCCATTTTTACAGGTTTTGGTTTCCAGTGGAGGAAGTGAACATCTTGGGTGTGCTCGACTTCATCAAGATTTTCTCGAGGCAAGTCTTGCCTGTTCTTTTAGCAAATTTTGGCCAGTTCTTAGCATCCCATGTGCGTGTGCCATTTGGTACTATTACAAATTGTGCAGTCTTTTGGTTTACCCACAAATTATCACTCAATCTGTTTGCTCCTCAGGTGATGGACTTTCTAAATGATGGAATTGCAACTCTTGCTTCCTTTGTTGATGCATATAAACCTGCGGCATTGTACTTCTCATGTTCTGTTGAAATGGGGTATGCCCTTTAGCCACTCTTGATTATATATGAGCATTGTCATTAATGATTGACATTTCTACAGCATTTCTGTTTATCTTCTCTATGCCATATCTAATGGCTTTCGGTTTTGGACTCATGGGGTTTTGAAGCCATGGAAATGAAGAATTGCTTATAACCCTGGCAAGACTTCACGATTCCTTGCTGCAAACATTACAACAAGGATTTGCACTCACCCCAAACGGGGATGACCTAAATCCATTTGGAAAGAATGGTGCAACCACTCCTGATGCCTTAAATCCATTTGGAAAGAATGGTGCAACCACTCCTGATCTCCCTCTATGTTTCAAGATCTTGAGGACAAGGATACTTGAATTTGGATGGAAATTACTTGACTCTTGTTATTTCAGTCAAGAATTGTGCCAAGATGAGCATTCCCTTCTTAATGCCACAAAGATGTTTCCAGCCAACATTGAAGACCCTGTTATTAGAGGAGATATATTGGTGCAGACATTCCAGGAAATCAGTGAAAGTTCTCACAATCAACATGGTAGATATACCTTTATCCAAAATATTGAAAGAAGTCATGGGATAATGGATAGGATTGACATTCTTCGTAAAAATGGTATGTCTGTACCTTTCTGATTGGTTTTAGCTTTTGATTAATGGAAATTATCTTTTTTCTTTTTCGTTTTTTCGGCTTGCTCTTGTGGGTTGCATTGGAGATTGCTTATGAAAGGAAATGTATAGAAACTTTCTAAATGAAATCTTTCATCTTGTTAAAGGTTGAATTTTAGGATAGTTCAACTCGCTTTAATGAAGAAAACACAATTACACAAATGAATATCTCTATTTTTGTAAAGCAAATTTACAACAGAAATATCTTTGGATTGTATCTTAATGTACAAGAAAGCAGAATGTTAAAAGATCAGCACATTTATAATTAGGCGAAATTGTTGAGGCATGGATTCTTGGTGGAGTACTATGTTGCAGGATGTGGTGTTATCTTGACGGGTCATCTGGTATTTTATATGATTTAGCTCTATATTCTAGTTTAACTCCGCCATGACCTGTCCCAACCTGGTCATGCTGGTCCCAATCCTGGATAAAGGAGGAGCGCTGTTAGGTAGGGCAGCTAGCCTAAAATTTTGCCACAACTTCTCCTGGATTCTGAATCTATGTTATATGCTCATGCTAGGGCGTTCATGGTGAAACATGATTCGTGTAGCCGACCCCAAATAGTTGGGATAAGGCTCATATGATGATGATGATGATTTCTGTATTCTAATTTCTGGTAGGCAATGGAAATTATAGCTTTTGGTGAGAATTTATTTGTTTGTTTTCGGTTGAATTACAGCAGTAGGTTACTTCTCAAGGGGAAGAAGAAGAAAAAATAAGTGCTAGAGTTTTCTTTGTCATTCGAAGTATTTAACATTGTGGCTAAAGAGTTGGGTGGAATAGACAAATCTTGAAACTTAGAATATCTCGATTTACTTGAGTAACCTTTTGGAAGAGACCCAAGTTTATAGACTTGTAATGTGCACCTATCTTTGAAGATTTGGAGCTGCATTTTGATCGGCGACACAAATAATCCTGAATTGGTATTCAAAAGCTTGGATTTGGCAGCTGATGTGGTGGCTTCCAAAACCAAGTGAGAGTTTGCTGAGTCAAATAGTTTGCTCTGAAATGCTTGGCGAGTTTTTCGTAGTAAAGAATTTCTAAAAACATAAGGCATCTGTAATAGGAATCAAAAGTATCTCATTGCCTGGGTCATACCACAAACCATCACATAGGAAGAAACCATATAATAGTCATTTCAGCACAAGCAATTATATAAGAGCACATATTCTATGCTTCTGCAGGAGGATATTGTTTACCTACTCCCTCGGGCACAAGGCCTACTTGGATGGATTTTTTTTATCTAAAATTATGGGATTTATCTAGGTAGCTTTTGACGATTATTTTCATGGAAAAAAATTTGGATTTTGAGTTCTAGACACCTAGATCTTTCCCTCAAAAAATTGGACGATTCTTGTTGGGATCTTAAATTTTTCTTGAGGCACATAACAGAGTTCTATTTATTTAATTTTTCCTTCAAAGTTGGTTATAAGGTTTGAGAGGTTACATCCCCAAATTTTGGGTCCAAAAAAATTGTTCCTGAGTTTTTCCCTGAAGGAGCAAATGCACAGTATGCTCCTGCAGGAGCAGCAAATCCTTTCACATTATGTTAAAGGAAAAATGAGGGCATCTCGGGTATTTCATATATTAAATTACCCACAGGATGAGCAGAATTGGCTTCAGCAAATTTTTTTAAATTAAAATGAGTTTTTATTAACTGCCCTCAATAATATCTCTATAAAAAAAATATCTCACCGTATTATAAATGGAAATTATCCTTTTCTTCAGGTGTGGATACTCATTACTCTATACATATGTAGGAGAAAGTTCCATATAGAATGTAGAAACCCATTCTGGGGAGACCATGGAGTTGAGCAAATAACATGGACCTGATGAATCATGTGGAAACCGCAAAGTTCAGCAAATTCTTATCTGTCTTGGATAGGTTTGTTTTCCTACAGTGGGGTAATGGGAGATTTGTCACTCAAATAGGTCTGTGTTTTTCAGTCTTAAGTTTCTTTTATTCATCTTGAAGGGTGAGTGCAGTGGATCCTCGTGATCCTTAAAAGTTCTTACATTTTGTGAATTGGTAACACTGGACGTGAATGTGTATGGAGAACATATGTGACCAAGGGTGTTCCTGCCTTTTTTTTTGGGGTGTGTGTGTGTGTGTTGGAAAGTTTAGGAGAATATTGGCCATCTTTTGAGTCATTGTGCATTTTCTTGGAAGATTTGGTGTTACTCTGAATCTCTTTGGTATACTTTGATTAGTGTTGTCATCAAGCCTCTCATAATGGATGATCATCTGGTCTTTTCCCTGCAAGCAGGTGTCTTGTTTGGAAAAATTGTCCTTAAGCCAGCTAAGGGGTGCTTAAATAGAGAGCTAATCCTTCTGTCTTCTCATTGGCGCTAATGAGAGGAGTGATAACTTGGTTCATGCAGACTGCACAATGGCTCTTAGTAAACCTTTGTGCTCAATACTTAAAATACATCTCCACATGTTCAAGCTAAACTTTGATGGCAGTTCTCTCGGGAACTTGAGTCCTTGGGGAGTAGACCTTGATGGTAGTTCCCTGGCACCCAATCCTCTGTCCTTGCTAAGCTTACCTCCAACCATAAACCCATCCTCCGTGGTAGGAACCCCATCTTTCCTGTCAATAGGCCTTTTTAGGTTTGAACTCTTTCGGTTGGATAGACCCTCCTTCCCCGAGCTTAACAGTAATTGGTGGGCTTTTTACTTGGTTAGTGGTTGGGTTGGGTTTCAACTTTCCAATAAACTTCATCTTTTGAAGGTCTCCATTAAACAGTGTAGCCACACTATCCCAGGCAACTTTAGGCCCGCTTGGCCCTTATCCATTCCCTGGATACCGAGGAAGAAGTTAAACCTCTTTCAACCTAAGAATTGTCGGATAGGGCATCTGCCAAAGAAAATCTGTTTCAACTCCTCAAGTAGGAGTAGACCTTCTGGTATCAATGGTCCAAAATCAAATGGCTTAAGGTAGCATACAGTAACATGGCTTTCTTTCATTAAATGGCCATTGTTAGGAGAAGGGGCAACACTATTACTGAACTCTTTGTTGGTAACCGCACCTTCTCACAGCCTGAGTAGGTTAATTGGCTCATGGTTAGACACTTCAAAAATCTTTTCTCATTTCCTTCTAGGCCTAAGCCTTCTCTAGGCAACATCTCCTTGCCTTCCTTTATCTTTTAAAGATGCTGACTGGCTTGAAATTCCTATCTTTGACGAAGAAATTCATGAAGCTGTCCTTGACCTTGTATGGGACACAGCCCTTGGTCCTGATGGCTTCCTTGTTGCCATTTTCCAAGACTTTTGGGATACGCTAGCTCCTGATCTCTTAGGCTATTTTGAGGAATTCTTCCACATAAGTCACCTTAACTCGGCTATCAACTGTACCTTCATTGCTCTCACCCCCAAGATTAAAAGGGCCAAAAAGTTGAGAGACTTCCGTCCTATTAGCCTTCTCAACTCCTCCTACAAGATTCTTGCTATGGTCTTAGCTTGTTGCCTTCAAGCTGTTTTACATTTTGTCATCTCCCCAACCTAATCTGCTTTCGTTGCTAATAGGCAAATTCTCGATGGGGCTTTTTCTGCCCATGAAGCTAATCACTCTAGGTTCAACTCCAGGGTTAAGGGCCGTTAAGCTTGATTGGGAAAAAGGCCTATGACATAGTCGACTAGGGTATTATTGAAAAGATCTAGTTGCGAATGGGGTTTGGTAGCAGGTGGAGATCCGAGATCAAAACATGCATCTCCAATCCCCACTTCTCTGTTCTCATTAATGGTTCCCCTATTGGTTTCTTTTCTGCCTCTAGAGGCTTGAGGCAAGGAGACCCTCCCTCCCCATTTCTTTTCACTATCATGGGTGAGCTCTTTTCTAAATCTCTTACTAGGCTCTATGACAATTGTTTCCCACCTCCTTTATGTTGACGACACCCTGATTTTTTGTGAAATTGATCTTGCTCAGTTGGACAATCTGTGGCTTTTCCATAGATGCTTCAAAGTCACCATTGGGATGAAGGTCAACATGTCTAAAACCAAAACGTTGGGGATCAGGGTGTGCGAGACTGAGACCGTAAGACTTGCCCAACATCTTGGTTGTGCTACTGATTCTCTTCCCTTCACCTATTTGGGCCTCTCTCTTTATCTAGGGAAACCCAAGAAACACCTTTGGGACAACATTATACAAACATTCAATTCGCCAATTGGAAGGGCCATTGGGGGTATCATCACCCTCATCACAACTGCCTTGGCTAATATTCCTATTTACCAGATGTCCCTCTTCCGAATTCCCTCCTCTGTTGCACATTGCCTCGTGAAACTCATGAGGAATTTTCTTTGGTGTGGTGCCTCAAGGGACCATAAGTTTCATCTTGCCTCCTGGGACAAGGTTTGCACCCCTACAAAGTATGGTAGTCTTGGTTTCAAAAGGATCAGTGATGCAGGAAAATTTGAGAGAACAATAGAATCAGCAAACAACAAAGCCAAGCACAAACATAATTCAAAGAACAACAAAGCCAAACACAAGCATAATTCAAAGAAATCTAGGTTAGGGTTCCAAAAGCCTAACTTTTTCTCTCAGTTAATTTCTTAAAATCATATGGAATTGACCCTCTCAAGGCCCTACACACCTCTTATAGATTATAATTCAATGTTCAAAAGCATTACGTGTCCATATAATAATTAAAATGACTTATATATCCTAACTTAAACTTAAATTTCATAATGACAGTTTTACCCACTGTGAACAGTACTCATGAATAGTACTTGTGAGTAGTATTTGTGAAGTAAACAAAAAAAATAAGAACCCTAGTATCATTAAAAAACTAAAAACCCTAGAAATAAACCTTAAAACTAAAATTATATTATACATCCTTGACAATTGAATAAAAATAAAAATTAAGAACAATTTTTCCCTCCATCAATCATGAAATTGGCCCTTTTAGGTAAATAGTGGTGGAGATTCACTTCCCCCCACCCCCTCCTTT